AAGCTAGTACAAAAACCTCTAAGTTTGCTATTCCCTGTTGTTAACAACCAAAACAAAGGTTTTAATAATTCACTTTGTCTTTTTTTTTTGTGATAATTTGCGTCAGAGAATCTTAGCATCCTTAGCTAATAAATACTGAAAAAATAAGCAAAACAAACCTCAAAATAAAAGAAAGAACGAGAGTTAAGAAACGAGAGTAAAATGCAGAGGTGTCATGTTACGGATTACAGCCATTTCTATAACTGACCGTAAAAGTCAAATTTAAATAAATAACTTCATAAGAAAAGTTCCGACCACTTTAATTTTCTCCTGGTGATTTCTTTTCGTTCGGTTATGGTTGACAAAACTGTCAGGATTCCATTTAAGGTGGTACAAAAACTTGATCTTACAAAAGCAGCGCGAAGCTTCATTAATGTTTTCCTAAGATGTTCCGTAACCAACAGTAACGTCTCTCCTTTGTCCAAATTAAATCGCTGGTGAAGACTGAAAAGCAAATTAAGTGCAGGATCTCCAAGACGCAAAATGATAGGTTGAGCTAAAAATGTGCTTGCCCATGAAACACTTACGTTCTTTTAAAACGTTTTTCCACTTACATAACATTTTTCATGTCTTTGGTTGATATTAGATTTAAGACATAAGCTTCAACAGTCAGAAATAAATTCATAGAAGTGGAAAATCGTGTTTTGTTTTATTGTCATTGGTAAAAGTGACTTAGTTCACAATTTTAAGAACAAATCACCACGACAGACGAGAATTTTACCACAAGTTTCTCTTCAAATGTACGCAACAAATAGTTTGCACAGACTAACGCAAATAATATTACGCCGAAAAGGGTGAGTTGATTGCAAACATCCTGTGATGAAATATTGTTCAATGAATTTTGAAAGACAGTTTCCGTTTGTCAAAGTTGTTAGCTTCCAAAAACCCGTACATGAATGCATTAAGCCGGTAGTCTCAACTTAAATGTTTATCTGTGACAATTACGATAAATTGAAACTGCGAGGCCACATATTAAATTTCAGATGTAATTTCATTAAGTATTTAGCCTAGGGCATTTGATTTTATTTGTTGCCATCTGAAATGAGGCTGAAGTTAACTGAATCAAACCCTCCTTACCACATACATAGAAAAGCTCCCTTTAAAGTTGAAAACTATTTAAAATGTTCTTTTGCACTTTTAAAGCCGACATTAAGCCCTTAGACTTTTTTCTCGCAAATTAGTATTTTCGTCGTTTAGTATTTGCGTTTATTGTCAAGCTTCAAACCATAACAAGCAGAGATTAATAAATGTTCCGGAAGATCTTCCTCCTGTTAATGACAGAAAATGAGCTAGAATCATGCATGGACTGAGATATCAAGTGCGAGAGAGCAAATAAAATCACTGCACCTTCAGGGTATTTTAGGAGTGGCTGTCGCAAATTTCCAGTTCTCACCTTGTGGTATCACATCTCTCTGTGATAAGGAAGATTAAAATCATTATGGAACTTGAGCTCATATGTATTCTGATATTCCTAATCTGTTTTTTTTTACCCTGAAAACCCTTTTTTTTTGTTTGAAAATCCCCTTAATTGTGTTTTACTTGGTTCTTGTATCCTTGAGTTACCAAAGTGGTTAAGCCAACAGAAAACTTAATTTTTTTTCCTAAATGGTATCAGAAGAAAAAAAAAACACTTAATCCATTTTTTGTTTTCTTTTCAACTGCCAAGGTAAGACTATTTGGTAATTAGAAAAGTCTTTTCGACATTTTATTTTGATATGTAATGTGACAGCATTTGCATACACTTTTGACATAACCATTTCCCTGATCTAATTTTGGGCTTCGAGATTAAATTTCATTTTATGGTTTTTTAGGCGAGAGACCGTTTACTGGTGGTTATCATAAAAAAAAAGAAAAGAAATCGAAAAAACTGAGTTACAAGGTAGGGCTAGTCGTAACTCGAAATCTTATTATTGATATTAGAGGTAACTTAATTGTTGTAAATCCCAACCACTCTTGTTCTGTAACACCGATTGACAATGGACAACATCAGCGCACCTTGCAATAACTTTTATACGATGCTGAATTTTCACCGCCCTTTACAGGTAAATACAGGCTGTTCCTCTCACAGATGCAGTAGCTCAAGCTTACAAGAAACGCATTCCCCCAGCTTTTTAGACTAATTTATGAAACTTTGCTGAACAAATATTCGGTTATCAGCGAGAAAACAGTCGGTCAATTTTTGTTCTACCGATTTCTTTTATTTCCTTTCTGGAAAACAAATTATGTCGCAATTTGATGCAAAGTGACCTGAAGTTTCATGCAATCCAGTTCACTACTTTTTCCTGCTATTTAGGCTAATATGGTGGCCATGTTATGCACAAATACTCACTGAGTGTATTATAAAGTTAACAGATTTGGGATTTTTTCTATTACTGTTATACATCCGGCCAATTTTACGCTCACGCAACATTTTGATTCCAATTCCCTTTTCACACTTCTACGAGCAAAAATAGAATTTAAAAAAAAACATCTTTCCCCGTTTAAAGTTTGAATCAATGTCTATTCTAAAATATTTTTTGTAAACATGTCTCAGCCTAAGCACTTCTCGGTGTAAAGCGAGAAAAACAACCTTTAAAAGAATTTATAAATCTGTGGGTGTCTAGACGAATCAGGTTTGCATATCTGGTGACACCGGCAGAAATAACAACGCTTGCTGTGTTGATTGAAAAAATAATGCCGCATATTAACATGAACATTCTTCGTGTTAAAAAGGCCTAAAGCTCTCAGTGAGACAAAATTTTAACGAGTATACACAGCAAAACATCGGTTAAAAAAATTACTCAAAGGTTTTGCTTAACATTGGGGCAAAATACAAAACTAAACTTCTTGTCGTGTCCTTTCAGCTGTTTGTACACTGAATTGAAAGTATTCAAATTTACTTAGTTAAGGAATTTTTTTTCTATGGTTTTGATTCTGAGGATTAGAGGAAAACCGAGCAAAATAAAATTAATCTATTTGGTGTCCCCGTAAACTTTACATTTGAAAACTTCACTCCTCAGAGGGGCTAAAATTCAAAGGAAAAGATACATGCTTTTCCAATGTTTAGATACTGTTACATTTGATTTGAAAAATTAGAACCTTCCATGCATCGAAAACAAAGCAAGTTTTTCAAAGAGGGAACCTAACGTTGACTCACGAGTGTGCAAAAGTTCGATTCCCGTCTTAAAAAAAAAAAAAAAAATGAAAAAATGGAGAAGGAGATGGAAAAATAAATGTACCCAACCATAACCATAAACATAACGTGGCATCTCGGCCAAAGTGGTTCTCCGCCGAAGTACAATTGTTAAATTATACATGTGGAAAAAAACGTTATATCTTGTGGAAAGTGAATACACACAGCATGATATTAACCATGGTTTAAAGGTTTCAATAAGAGTCGGTCCCAGGTGGTCTACCGTCTCTCACTGTGGTATGTATAGCCTTCAGGCAGGATCTCGTGCTTTGGTTTTCCCTTATTGCACAACCGCCCGCCACAGCATCAGTTACCGCTCAGGAAAAAAAATTTTGAAACCCCAGCCATAGTCCAGTACCAAGTTAAATCAGTGGCCTTCCAGAAATTATCTAAAAAGAGCAAATACATCCCAGCCAAAGGGGTTGACAAACGGTAATCGCTCAGTGAGGTATAAATGTGGAAAGATTTCGTATCTTTCGGGTGGTGAATATACACACCATGACCTCGACTATAGCTCATAACCGAATTAAATCCGTGGTTAAATAACTCCGTCACGAATCATACAAGAAATCTTTGTTGTCGTCAACGCTTTCGCCTAAAATAAGTCGGTTATATCTTCTAATGTCATCCCGGTCATTTTATTAACTTGACATAGATATGATAATACTTCCAAGCTTATTTTAAACATGAATAACTCTGATGTGACTCGAATAGGCGGTCTTGAATATTCAGCCGAAAGGGTTCTAGCTAGAACTGTACTTTCACCTGAGAGGTAATTCATCCCGGTTTATGTTAAAACTGCGAAAAAGTAATCGAACGCATTTGCCTAGGGCTTTTGCCTTTGTAGGCTTAGTTAGTCAAAGGTCGTTCTGCCGCATTGTTCCTATATAGAAGCTGTCATTAATGTACATCTGATTTATCTGTGTCAATTTAAGTCCAAAAAAACAAAAACATATCAGTGTCAATTGATCTCAATAATAATTCCGAATTAGTTTTCCACAGAAATTGAAATCTTAAAAGATTAACTAGTCCTTTCTTTGGTCAGTCACATCTTGCGTACCACGACACCACTCTTTTGTTCAAATTTATTTAGGCTTACAATTATCTGAAAAAATTGAGCCCATTGTTAGGTCAATACTGAAAAACACAAGCAAACAAAAAAGTGTCGAGTAAATGTGGATATTTTTTATAAAAATAACGATATCACAAAAAAGAGCTGGGCTGTCTTGTTAATGTTGACTTCCATGCAACCATCTTTAATATATCATTCAAACATAAGCCGTCAGCTTTTATGATCACTATCAGGCAAAACATTGAAGAAAAAGATGGTGTTTCCCGCTCGGCAAAACTTTAGACCCTACTCGCTTACATGAAAAGAGATAAGTTCGGAGAATAAAAACATTACTTGCTCTTATTGTCTTGTTTTCGCATTCTGCAACCTATTTACACAAAATTACATTTGATTGTTTGCGTCATTGAGGGGAAACCGCTTTGCGGGTGCCACAAGCCAAGTCTTCGTTAATTGGCGCACACTACTCTCTGGAGATTTCCTAAGTAAGGAATTAACGCATGCAATAATAGATTTCTTAAAATTATTATGCACAGTTATCCAATTTAAGTGTTGTGTGCATCAGCTTTTTTGTTTTTGAGCACTTTTTCATATGAACGCGGCTCACTCCTATGACAGTTATCTTATCCTAATGGATCGCGCTGAGATGAGCGCAAAGCGCAGCCAATGACCTTTTTTTGCGCTAAAAAGATGAACGTTATTTTGCAAATTTTGATTTAGACCAGTTGCCACACTTCATCTTGCGATCGCTAAGTTCTTAAACGACTTGGATCGGTCGCCTGAACTCAAGTGGTTAAAGAGGCTCGTGACGTGATTTGGACACGAATAGAGCATAAGGAGCAAAGGTAAAGTCAGTCAAGAGCAGCATCTTTCAGTAAATTTCCCAATGAAGAGATAGGCTTCAAAAAGTGAACTGTTAATCCTTACGTCGGCGGTTATGGTAATTCTTTCACTAAGACGCTTACGTCGCTAAACCACCGGTATGAACCTTTCATATGGGTCAGAGCTCAATAATACAAGTGTTTTACCCTTTTCAAATTCCTCAGTTTCATTCAAGAGCCCTTTTCTCATAATTCATCATAACTCAAACCTTCATACGATAAGGTTGTAAAAAACTGAATAGCATGTGGTCTGTCATATATTGAATACGTTAATATGGGTAGTAGTGTAGAACTCTCTTCTTATAGAAATTATCCAGTTCGAGCTGCAGTGTACTTAATGCCTTAAATATGAAAATGTGAACCAACATCGTTTTCTTAATATGTTTCTGTAAGGTGAATGTAAACTCCGTTTCAAAAGTGTGTTAAAATTGCCACAGTCACTTGAAAGTTCAGAAAAACATCGTAGTCCTTCTTAGGAAACAATTTTAATTTACAATTACCCTTTCTCTCGCTAAATTTTTACATAGTAAGAGTCTGCCGAATTTAAGAAATATCCTATTGTTAGCATAACATGTTAGGATAACATGTGAGGATGACAGTTTGTCAAATTCACTTTCCCTACAAAAGGCATGATGATTTTTTGTTGTATCACCTTTTGCAAGTTCTATTTGCAACTTCGTAAACACGATTCGAAAGAACGTAGGGTAAAAACGAAATAAAAGCATTCAAAACAGGTTTCCCTAGTTTCCGACTCCCCATCAAGAAAAACAGAAATATACTCGGTAGATTCTCGTTTAGTGTGCGGTTCACAACATTGCTATATCATATATTCCTATACTGGCAAATAATGATAAAAGCTGTTGTCAACACCAATTATAAACTTAACTAGAGGTGGAAAACAATTTTTTTTCATAACGATCGTGTTCCTAAAAAAAAAAGCAGTAACTTGTGCTCGTTGAAGACACAACTAGATCTTTTCCGCCACAGGCAGTTTTCGGCTTTTACAAGGGAGACTACATAGAAATGGAAGTTTATTGATAAATGCAATAACTTAACGACAAAGAAAAATCTAGTAATGACGTATTTATTTATATTGTTCTCCGCCGCCCACAAACATTCGCCCTAGGTAACAAAGAACATCTTGCTAGGGACAAAGGCTTATTTACATTATAAAATCGTCACCGTTTTCTTTGTAATTGCGCAAAATTTCATTCTGACAATAGGCGCATTATAAACCGCAGTTAAAAATGCGCCGCTTCTTCCTCCCCCCTCCCCCCCCGGCTCTAAAGCTCCTAACAGCAGCACTATACACCATCTACGCAATAGCCTTTCATGGTATCAAGACTAACTTCTTTTATGGCGAAATTGATGCACGTGACATGGTCCTCCTTGCCTTTCATGTTTTGCGAACGCAAAGAAGATGCTAAGTGCTACTTAGCACCTGCAGATTCTTGATTAAGAAAGGTTAAAACATATATTTCCTGACAGAATGCCTATTTGAATCTTTACTTAAAAAAGAAGCTCAGAAATTCTGCCGATGTCCCCGAAATTACCGAACGATTAAAATGCTATAGTGGGTATATTCAACGCCACATTACTTTAATAAGGATTAGTAGCATTTGATATCGATGACATTGTGATATTAGCACCTTTTCTCAGTTTTTTCAGATTCGTAACAAAAAATCCTGATTATGTGGTACTCGTTTTGGTGGCAAGTGTAATCATGTATACAATGCTTTTGAAACGCCCGAAATCCAGTACCAGTTATAACCTTAATTAGAAGTATCCTGCTGAATATAAATATTGTTTCTATGAATAGCGCTCAAAATTCATCAGGTTTGCGCTCCGCTTTCTGCCACAAAAGCTGATACTTGGTTCAATCTCAAGCGGTACCGCTACTGAAAACATAACTAAATCATTTTACCTAAAGAGAGAAAACAACTTCTTTGAATTGAGAAAATTGAACCCAAGACATGATTTTTTGAACAAACAGAATTTTGCAAAAAAGTGTTTACCAAATGTAAAAAAGATGAAATAATAAGAAAAAAAAATCTGCTATTTATACAAGACAGATAGACCAATTGAAATTTATCAATTTCGACTTAATATTCTATATCGTAAACTAGGCTTGAAAGTGGTCACTATTTGCCGATTCGTTCATTAAACAGTCCTTATTTTACTTCATCCCAATGATATGAGTTGAGTTTTCATTTTTTTCAACGTTTTACCCCTGAGTCACGTTGCTTCAAGGACAACAACTGAGAATATTTCTTTGCCAACAAAAGCATCATCACATCTCGGTTCCGTTTGGTTTTAAAACCCTCTCGTTTTTAGATTAAACACCGGACACGATATTGCAATCTTCAGTGACAGTTGCGGCGTACATGTTTACCTTCTATCTTTAATTTTTTTCATATTGAGCGCGTTAAAAACAATAAAACGTTTTAAGCGAAGTGCATACGAATATTAAGGATTGTTGTGCCAACGTGGCAAGACCGCTGATGGGGAATTATGTCTTGGATGAATGCAGCTCAAGGTGCCAAAGACTACTTCCTCTATACTTGTAACAAATTTGTAATTTGAATACGTGGTCACATACTTGCTAAAGGTTAATTTCCTGTTAGTGTAACGACATCGCACATTGTTTTCTTTCTTGTTTGCAGATTTGTCAGTCAGAGAGAAACAGAGCACGACACAGTTTATTATCCACGCTCGTCGAGGCTTCTAATTGCGGAGTTGAGAAATTAGAGAGTTTCAGCTGGGCGATCGTTTTTCCGAGAAAAGCTTGAAAATACTACATCAGGTTAGTTGTGAAATCAAATTCAAACCTGTGGTAATGTAAGTTGAAGTTAGATGGCCCTTCGTGCCACTTAAGAAGATGTGCTTCTCGCAGATATCTACTCACACCGAACGGTGTAGGTAATTGGGCACACGATGACCGCGAAATCAGGATTAAAAATCTCGATTGTGATTTTATTTTTGTACAAAAACATTTCTCAAGGCGAAAGTTTCGTGAGGTTTTATCTGTGGGAGTTTTATCGGTTAGACAAACTTTAAAGTACAAAATGTAAACAAAAAACCTGTCTACCAGCAAAGCTGCAAAACCAGATTAATCTGCACCGACCTTTAGTTTGATCGGCCGGATTTGTAACAATACTCTAAGCGATGTCATATTTTAGACTTCACTTGCGTCCTAACACTTCAGCTCTAATCTCACACCTCACAAAGAGCCTCTTGCTTACCCACTTTTGGAAATGGTTGTGTTATTTCGTCAATGTTGGAGTTAACATACCGAATTCTCTTCGTCTTACAATGCCAAAATTGCATTCCCGAAAACTACCTAGTTGGAGTATTTTGTAGTCAATTTGACATTGCAATCCGGTGTTATTTCGAAGTATAAATCAATTCTTTAACAGTAAAGAGCTTTAAACGCCACTGCCACCTAAAAAACGGTCGAAGGGAAGATTACCCAAAGAGGAGAAATAATCTCTACAAAGGAGGCAGCGTGCGATTTTTTTTCACCATTTCAAAAAAGGGATGATTCGTGCTGCGGCAAACATGTTAGAGAATCAAAGGAGATCAATCTGTTTATATAGTAAATCAAATACATCCTGTGCAACAAATTGATACAAGAACAAACAAATCAGGTCAGAACAAAACTTGTTAAAGAGGTTCTTTCCTTTTTTTTGGTTCGTTATTGGCATTTCTTTTGCCTTGTCTAGTAATTCTGGTTCAAACTGTCACGCTAGGAAACATTCTGTTTTCCGGTTTTCGACAACTGTTCTTCAGCAACAGGGTTTTGTTTTATTTTTCTTTTCTTGTTACTACAGGGAAGGAAAGCATCCAAAAAGAACCAGTGTCAACTGAATAAATAATCTCCATATACTTCCGATAAAGATCTAAAAATGCCGAATTTTAAACCGCAACGATAGAATAATTTGAACTAAAAAGAGGGCACCCTGACTTGCAAACCTCTAATCACTGCATGTATGATCATATTCTCTCTCACTGTCTTCTTTGGCTTACAATAGGTCAAGCAAAATATTTTCCCATCGCTCATTTCACAACAATTGCAAATAATACAACAATAAGGGTTGTCAGTCGCTCGTGATTTTTCTTTTTTTTTTTACTGTTTGCTCTCATGATGGCTAATGTGTGTTCCGCGCCCGTTGTCACTCACTTCTGTCAAACTTGCAGTTCGATTAATTTAGCATTATAAACTAAAAACTTTTTTTTTTATTTCGTTAATTTTTGCATCACTGGTCATTGCCTATAGTTTTAACGAGATCATATATTAAAGCTAATTCCTCCCTAGGCTTACACAAATTATTTTTAATCACTTTGACTGACAGAGGTATCTTTGCTCTGGACATTTCAAGAGCTATTCTGCAAATAAACTTTCTTTAAGGGTTACCCGTTTTATACCTTTGTGAGCAATGTGTCGCGCTGTGCTAAGAGGAAAGTTTCATTTTGTTCAATTATGAATTGCGTTTACCGTGAATTGTTTCCGTGCGCAGGGACTTAACAACAAAGGCGCGAAACATAGAGGACCGAAGCTACCTGTACCAGCATCTAATTTCTCCTTAAAGTAATGCTGCTGAATGATTCACTAAGATTATGAGAACAAAGGAAATGATCGCCAACCTAAGAAACTTTAATGGTTAAACGAATTCTCATTACCAGCACTAAAAGAAATGTACAGAGAAGAACAAGGAGAAAATAGTTACTGATGTTAGGGTGTAAAGGGCTAAGAAATACCTTCCTCTTCCTCTTGTTGTTATTCGCGTCACTCTACCTGCCTTATGATAATTATTATAAGAACAATGATGATGATAAAAATAATAATGATAATAACAATTGTAATAAAGGAAATACAGCTTTATGAAAATCAAAATTCTACCTACATAATACATTGCTCAAAATGATCTTTTTGACATAATGTAATGTTATTTATAAATATAAAAAACTATATCATTTTTGTGTTATCTCTGTACACCCTGAACTTAAAAAAGGCAAAAAGATAAAATACTCCATTCAAAAAAAAGAATGACTTATTTACAAATAGAAAAAGCTAGACTCGTAATGTCTCTATACAATATGTAATTCGTATTAGACATTCCCTGTTTCTGACTTTATGGTATTTAACAAAAGTAAAGAACAGATTCAAGTTATTTAAACAACGTTCCAAAGCCAAAATCAAATATGACATCAAGAAATTGCAGAAGTATTGAGCAAAAGCTTTTGCCTCATTTCCAACCAATTTAATTTCATATGAGCTAAAGCTACTTCTGTCTTTTCATAGTTTCTCTTATGCCTTTTTTGTTTCTTTATTTTTCAATAGTTTGTAGGCTGCGAAACTTCTCCCTCAAAATGAACAACAGTTCCAATGTATCAACGACAAACGGTAAGGATCTCGTAGCTCTATATATGCCGTCCATTCCGTCATTGTTGTCATGCGTTTTGCCTGTTGCTGAGTGATGACTTATTATACAATTGTCGCCATGATGAATTCAAACCGAGCATGAATAATAAGAAGGATCTGCAGGGTCGGGTCGGAGGGGAATGTTTCGCCATTTTAATCTAACACTCATCTATAAACAGTGTAAATAGGGATGGTTGCTTTCACCGCTCTTAATAAGGCGTGCTATTGGTTATATATAATTATGCAATTTGTGTTTTTTTTTTTCTTTTTTGCAGCAACAACCGCCGGTGCTCCACCACAGGGTACTTCTCATGAGTTCAAAATTGGTATAACATGTGCGTATGCAGTTATTTTTACCATCGCTTTCCTTGGAAATTCATTTGGGTTGTACGTTGTGTTAAAGAAGTCTTCCTCTACCAGCGTCACGAACTTGTTTATCGCCAACATGGCCGTTGCAGATCTGATGTTGACGTGTACAATCATGCCGGTTCAGGTGAATTTCATTCATGGGGATGTTTCTTGGATTCCAGGAATATTGGGAAACGTGACTTGCAAGCTGGTGTTCTACTTTATCCCAGTTTCAATAGCGGCAACTGTGTTCACGATGATGTTCATTTCGTTCGATCGATTTTACGCCATATTCTATCCACTGAGAGAGAAGATCTTCCGCAAGCCAAAAATATTGTCCGCCACAATTTGGATTCTATCTTTAGTGCTGATGGTCCCATATCCTATGTTGTACCAAATACAGTATAAACCTCGAGAGAACAAGCATTTTTGTTTACAAGTGTGGCCATGGCAAGACAAAAACGATGTTACAAATGCTGAAACTTATCGCGTACTTAAGATCTTTCACACCACGATTTTCGTTGTGCTTTACGCATGGCCCCTTACAGTAACCATAGTCATCTACTTCTTAATTTGCCGTAAACTATGGCTTCGAAAGATCCCAGGAAATGTGACAACTACCAATCGCGCTGCGGCTGAAAAATCCAAACGCAAAGTTGTTCGGTTATTAGTCATAATCGTCTTGGTCTTTGCAATCTGCTGGTTCCCAAATTATATTGATCATTACATTTGGTTCGTGCGACCTGACCTTGGGAACTCGATACCGCAGGAAGCACAGCTAATGTTTTTGTGGCTCGCGCACGCAAACAGTGCAATAAATCCATCACTTTATATTTTGCTGAACAGCAAATTTCGCAAAGAACTTTTCATCACGATGACTTGCTGTCCTCGTTATCGAGTCAGGCTGGCACGCTTTTTGTCGGCTTCGTCACAGAATGAGGAGGAGAACAGTTTTACAACTGGAGGTACCATGTGGAAAATGATGTCGTTTGGTCGAGTAACGGCGTACACGTTGCCGCGTAGTCCCTCAGAGAAGCGGGAAAGAGGGCACACTAACCTGTCTTTGTCATGGATGAGCATCAAAGAAGGCCACTCGTACCCAAATAGTCCACCACCTCAGAACCAGAATCCTAACTCCTCACAGAACACTGGTAAAAGCGGAGAAGACATGCTCCAAGTGTACCCTTTGTCTTAAAAGCTGGTTTATAGATTTTTTCCTTGGTTCATAAGCAAGGATAGTTGCATCTTTGAATGACATGACAAAAAGGCTGCCGGCTTTAAAATGCGTTGCCATTCCAAAGAGGTGACAGGCCTTAATGGTTGGATTTAAACTTTAATGTGTAAGTCCATCGGATTATTTTGTCCACGGAATTAAAAAAGTTTTCCTCTGCCTTTGGGACATTCCGAATGACTTGAACTGATCTATCAATAAGACAAGGTTACTCCTAAAACTTCGTCTTTGTTGTAGCGTAGCTGCACGTTACGTACAGAAACAACTAGACATTTTGTTTCCTTTAAATAAGTTGAACATATGTGATGGCTTACAGTTTAATCCTGCGTGAGGGTTGAAACAAATTCTAAATCAATATACTGAAATGTTTATGTAAGTGGGTTGATAACATAAGCTATAAATAAACGTATTATCCAGGATATCATTATAAAATAAACTTACCGTAATAATGTAAAAATATATTAATTGATTTAGTGGACTACATTACACAATACGTTCATTATATTATAATAACGTACATTATGAAGGATCGCTATCGCTTGAAGGATAGGAAGGAATTTAGCTTGGGTAGCTTAATTAAAAATTCTAGCATCAGCTGATGCACGTGCGGATCATTAAAATAGCGCTCAACCCACAGGTGGCTGATGAATACTCTCCGCATTTGCAAGATTTCTTGATACCGTTCCTTATTGACTGTAAATATGTATAATAAATAAGATCGAAGCTGATCATTTCTCCCTAATATTAATCAAACTTCACATACACCCACGGAAATTACGCAATAAATGTTATCTATAAAACTCTGATCAATATACAATTTGTCAAGGTGAGTGTTGAATCAGTGAAATTAAAGTTGTTACAATCAAAACTGTGATTAAGTTGGTGTACATTGAAATGTTTTTCCAGCTTTTCAAAAAAATGCTAAATTACCTGAGACTTCTAGTCAAATCTCACAATGAAACTATAGGGTCTTTTTTTTCTTTTTAGCTCATTCATGCTGAAAGCAATGAATGACGTATCGTGGTGGAGCAGATATTGACGGAAGTTGTCGACCGTGGACGGAAGTTGTATTCCGTGGACGGCAGTTGCATTGTGGACAGTGAACGGAAGTAAACTCGCATGCTACCCCTCCCCAGTTAGTGAAAGTCAAAATTAATTTCGTTGAAGCTCAGAAACTCACGTTGAAAGAAATAAAATGTTTATATGGTTTAATAAAATAATAACCTCAATTCACATTTCCGAACTTCTGAAAATGGAACTTGAATCAAGAAGCCGAAATGTTCACACCTAGGAGACCCGCGAAAGAGCATCAAAGGTCGCCATATTGGTAAGCTGCGCATTTGCGTTCGTCTTCAGTCTGTATAAAGTAATCATAGCTCTATCATTGTACTTTTCCTCGTGAGCTCCTCAACATACAGTCCACACATCAGTCATAGCGGCCAAGATAGTCTCACTAGAATTTTTTTTCGAGCTCCAATATTTCGGTCCGGACTTGTGGCTCGCTCGAACAAAAACAGCAATACCAATCCGGTCATTAAAAAATGCAGACTGCTGACTGCAGACCGGGTACAAAATGCAGACTGAGAATTTATACTGTTTTTTCGTCTGATACGTGATAACATGTCATCTTGCAACTTACCGAGCGTCACGCAATTGCTTTTCCGCGATTGTCTTTCATGATTATTTGCACTATTGTGGAAAATTCCTTGCCCGTTTCTTGATCACAGTCGTTCTTAATATAATTTCAAGCCTTCATATAGTCTTCTCACTTTTCGCGCGAGTTGGTTGGTGAGATGTCGGTACAGAATTTACTAACTCATTAAAAGTAGATGTAGATGGAGATTTAAAGGAGATGTCACTATTGAATATTTAATACGCGAAAATGGTTCATACGTTTCATCGTTTTAGCCGATATGTGTTCATTTTGTTGACAAAAATGCGGAACAAGACCAACTGATTTTTCCATATCATGTGCCTTATATTGTTATTGGCTTAGTACATGAGGAACCAGCGATTTTTAAAGGGAAAAGCGAAAAGTTGCTTTCGTGACTGGCCATTTGCTTACTTTTCTGGTGGTTTTATCTCTCTTTCGTTACTACGCAAACACACACACCAACAAAAAGGACACTGTCTGCCTAATGACCTCTGTTCATCCTACCTTCAGCCCACACAACCTTTTTTCCAATTCTCATCACGACGAACGCACAAGTTTCCTTATCTCACAACTGCCCAAAAATAGGAGAGAATTTATTCTTAAAGTCTTGAAAGTTCACATAAACCGAATTCAACTGTACCTATATTCAACAAATCCAAGAAATCGATACAAACCTAAGCCAAAACATGAATGAGCTGGCTCTAAGAGCCCTGGCTTTGATTTCCTCGTGCATTCGACACCAAAATGTTAATTAAACAAGAGTAAGCGTCAGCTCACCACTGCTCAAGAAAGTAGTAAGTTCGAATTCCACGACTGAAACAGCTTTGCTGGGAAATTTGACCAGACATAACTAAACTTGTATTTGTACTGTTTCCTGAACACATTTCATGTCAATCATTTTTTTTTATAATGCACAACGGAAGGATGGTTCAATCACTGACGTCATAGCACTGACGTCAACGGTAGAAAATTAAGCTTACGAGTTTGCTCCCCGATATTGAACATGAAGTAGAATTCAAATCTTCGCTCAAATTTTTTACAACGAATAAATTGTTTTGGAGAATTCAGATATTAAATGAATGAATATAGATTTAAAAAGTAAGTTTCTAAATTTCTGATCCATGAATTACTTTTTATAAAAGATTATTACCTCAAGGACGGTTTTTCTTTTTTTCGGCGTGATAATTTCGAAACCAGTTTTTTGCAGGCAACCAAAGTGATTTGAGAGAAGATACACATGTAGTGGACTGAATTATTAAGTTATCCAAATCGAGATCTATTGAGATCATGACCGAATTCTTTGCTTTAAAATGGCGCCTAGCCAGTAAAACAACACATTTTATGAAAAATGGCAACGAAGCAAGGGATGTACTCAGCGACTCACTTAAGCGTCATCATACCTGTGGGCAGAGATCCGGACCGCACTAGAAACCAGTCAGATTTCAAGATTCGCTACTACACCCTCTTGGAAATAAAATATATGTTACTAATTTCCCAAAAATTCCTTCTGAGCATCTTCTATATTTCATCGTATATCCATAATGACGTGACAAATTGTCAGCGCTCCCTCAAGTGGCGATCTCTGTAAGAGCGGTCTAGGCCGCATCGGAATAAATTTTTGCCACAAACTTTGATCATTAACTATCTTTGGTAGAAAGTAAATAGAACCACATTATATTGGTTTCCGGAAATACCTTTAAAATAATTTTGAGGGCTCTCAATAATCAAAGCTGCAAAAGGCCCTTTTTCGACCTTGCGACTTCGAAAATTCAAAAGTTGACAAGCTCGCTTCTTGTAACATACTGCATGCGGCAAGAAATCGTTTGCATTCCTACATTTTGTAATATCTAAGGGGTTTGGAAAGCATTTCAATTTTGACGTGTGTTTATTTAGAGGTTCGCAATAATTTATCTAAAAACACCCGTCAGACAGCTTCTGAAATTGGTCAAAAGTACTCTTTCTTTCTTGGATGTTATTTCTCAAGTCCAGACCAGGCCACTAAAGACTCCGGTTCGTTTCTTCAAATAAGATGTTCGATAGCATAGAAACATAAAAACATCTTGCACTATTTAATTTCCTTTGCCGTGGTGACTTCAAACTTTTGGCGACTTTCCTAGCGTGACTGAAGAATTATGCAAATTATCTGTTGAGCAAACTTTGACAGTTCTATATTAATAGCTCCATGAATCTTAGATTTAAACCGTTTAAAAAATAGATAGTGGGAAAGAGCTTTTAGAACACACTGATTGATACTCTAAACATTTCAAACGGCTAAAATCCGGCAAATGTTCACGAAAAAGGTGAACAAAACGTATTGAATATCGTATTGATTAGCGTTCGGTCAACCTTTTAATAAGCAACTCTTTCTTAAGAAAAAAATGGTGTGTGTTATTTTATGTTTGAGTTTAGAGAGCTTAAGTTATTCAAACTTGTATGAACATTTCAGGACCAAACTAAAGGATTTTATTTAGCGTAACCGGCGATAACAGCACAAGACTACGAGCAGTCCCTCCTTTTCGGCGACGGTCGTGGCGCAGGTCGAAAAAAATCAGTGAGGACAAACAAATTTTAGTGCCTCACTCCAAGAGCTCCCGGCGGCGCGCTGACATCTTTTTTTTCTCTATTTTCAGCTCTGGTTATTTTCTCACTCGCGCGACGGACTTCACGCCAAAGAAGGGACTGCACGTAGTCTATAACAGCACATACCAAAATTCACCTTGACCATGCAATGGCTCAGTCGCGTAATTCTAAATATTTAATATATTTATTCTAAATAAGGCAGCGATAACGTGAGTTTTTTTGGCTCGGAAGTCTAGCCTAGATTTTCCAGGCTATCAGCCGTGTTTGCACTTGATGAGAACAGAGAAATACAGGATTTCATATCAGCGAGAGGAAAATTACTGTCCAAGATCCACAATTTAAGAATGCAAACAATTTCTTGCTGCATGCAGTGTGTGTTACATGGAGTGAGCTCGTCAACTTTTGAAATTTCGATGCTGCAAGAGGTCATAAAGGGGCCTTTTGCAGCCTTGATTATTGAGAGCTTTCAAAAAAATTTTAACGTATATCTAGAGACTAATGTGGTACTACTTACTTACTACCAAAGATAGTTTAATGGGCAAAGTTTGAGGCAAAACTTTATTTCGATGAGAAATGCCCCTTGACCGCTGTTTCAGAGATCGCCACTCAATGAGCAAGTTAACGTATGAGCTAATTATCATGGATTCAGGTTGAACACAACTTTGTGTTCCATGTGACGAACAGGCATAAACCATTTTTCAGGTATTGATTTGATCAATACATAAGAAATACAATTAAGGAAAAAAGAGAAGATCTAATCTCAGTGAAATGTGACACAGTGGGCGTAGTCAAAAGCAAAGTTGTTAACACTGTCGCATAAGCTATTATTATTGGGCTATCAATATTTGAATTATATCGTCCATCGTGATGTGAAAAGAATGGAACGCACTTCCTTAATGAAACCTTCCTGTCTGAGTCAATGAAATCATCTCAAACACCTATATAAAAACTGGTTTCCTGCATAAGACGTTATTGCAAAAAAAAGGGGCGGTACAAATCAATTTTTAAAGTGTTCCTTTCATCAGTATGTAAAAAAAATCAAGTAGAGGAAAAAGATTAGATCTAATTTTAGTAAAATACGACGCATAATGAACGTAGTGGGAGTAAAATTTACTTACACCGTCGTATAAACTACGATCATTGTGTCGCTAATATTTGAATGATATCGTCCACCTGACGTAAGATGAATTGACAGCACTTCCTGATAAACAGTTCCTGTCTGATTTAATGATCTCGAACACCAATATAAAGACTGGCTTTCTGTATACGGATTCACTGCTGTGAAAAAGGGCGTCAATAATTTGATCAAACTAGATCTACCTTCAAACTTCTGCTTTTGCATCCTCTATACTAAATTGATATTTTTTATTGTGACGTAATACTAAGAACTTATAAGTTCCCAATAAGAAAATTTATAGACCTCAATTGAACAAGCATTTATGTTTACAAGTGTGGTCATGGCAAGACAAAAACGACGTTACAAATGCTGAAACCTATCGCGTACTTAGGATCTTTCGCATCACGATTTTCGTCGTGCTGTACGCCTGGCCTCTTTCGATAACCATTGTAATCTACATCCTAATTTGTCGTAAATTGTGGCTCCG